AGCCCACCAAGATGCCACACAATGACTTGGAAGCCCAACAAGATGCCACACAATGAGGTTGAAGCCCATCCAGGTGCCACACAACGACTTGGAAGCCCAACAAAACATCACACAATGACTTGGAAACCCAAGAAGAAGCCACACAATGACTTGAAGCCCATGAAGACACCACAAAACAACTTCAAAGCCTATCAAGGTGCCACACAATGACTTTGAAGCCCACGAAAGACTCCACACAACAACTTGGAAGCCCACCAAGATGCCACACAAGGACTTGAAGCCCACGAAGACACCACACAACAACTTGGAAGCCCATCCAGGTGCCACACAATGACTTGGAAGCCCACCAAGATGCCACAAAACAGCTTAGGAGCCCACCAAGATGCCACACAATGACTATGAAGCCCACCAAGACTCCCCACAATGACTTGAAGCGCAACAAGATGCCACCCAATGACTTGGAAGCCCACCAAGATGCCACAAAACAGCTTAGGAGCCCACCAAGATGCCACACAATGACTATGAAGCCCACCAAGACTCCCCACAATGACTTGAAGCGCAACAAGATGCCACCCAATGACTTGGAAGCCCACCAAGATGCCACAAAACAGCTTAGGAGCCCACCAAGATGCCACACAATGACTTGGAAGCCCAACAAGATGCCACACAATGAGGTTGAAGCCCATCCAGGTGCCACACAACGACTTGGAAGCCCAACAAAACATCACACAATGACTTGGAAACCCAAGAAGAAGCCACACAATGACTTGAAGCCCATGAAGACACCACAAAACAACTTCAAAGCCTATCAAGGTGCCACACAATGACTTTGAAGCCCACGAAAGACTCCACACAACAACTTGGAAGCCCACCAAGATGCCACACAAGGACTTGAAGCCCACGAAGACACCACACAACAACTTTGAAGCCCATCAAGGTGCCACACAATGACTTGGAAGCCCACCGAGATGCCACACAACATCTTGGAAGCCCAACAAGACTCCACACAATGACTTTGAAGCCCAACAAGATGCCACACAAGGACTTTGAAGCCCACTAAGATGCCACACAATGACTGTGTCCAAGCAGGACACCAGGCAATGACCTCGTCGAAGCCCCCCCAGATGCTACCCAACGACCTTGCAATCCACCCAAACGCCACACAGGGACCTAGAAGCCCCCCCAGATGCCACCCAACGACCTTCCAACCCAACCGCCCCCCTCGCCCTCCCTTACCTTGAGCTTCTGGGGGTGCTCCTTGCTGAGGCTGAGGGTCATGTTGTAGACCTTCAAGGTGACCTCCCTGGTGTAGGAGACGGCTTTGTTGCCCCGGTGGTCGTTCTCCACGTTGACGGCGAAGGGGACCAGCCCGGGGTCAGCTGAGGAGCAGAGGGCGGCCAACTGGTAGAGGCAGGTGCCCATGAAGTCGTAGCGGCGGCCGTCGAAGGTGGTGTAGTGGGGGTCGCCGGTGGCCACGCAGGTGGCCCGGCCGGTGGCCACGCACCGCCGCACCCCTCGCACCAGGGCGCACTTCTCGCCGGCTTTGCAGCTGCTCTCCCGACACACCACCATGCCCAGGGCCCCCTCACACCTGCAGCGAGTGCGGCAGGTCTCGTCCGCCCAGAAGTCCTCCCCGGGGGGTTGGTAGCCACCTCGGTGGCCGCAGCCGCAGTCGGAGGCCGGCAGGCAACGGCCACCGCTGAGGAGGTGTCCCGGGTCGCAGGCGCAGGTCTCCACGCAGGGGTGGGGGCAGGAGGACGGGGGTTG